TTTTTTTTTTTTTTTTGCGTTTTTTGTGTGCGAAAACTTAGCAACTGCCGGGTCATTTTGCAAAGTTGGGCAGCGTCCGGTTAATAATATCATTTCATGTCAAAGCCGAGGCCTCAGAAGTTTGGCTAGCACCCTGCTTAGTCCCATTCATCTGGTGTACAAAACACACTCTGCTGTTTCTTTCCGTTGAGATGTGGTCTTGTGGAAGTGCGACATGTGCATTACTCCTCCCTCCCCATCCCTCACGTACTCCACTCCTTGTCCATCACATTACCCCCACTTTCTAGCTTGTTGATGGATGACTGGTCACTTTTAGAGATCGATAAGTGCTTGCCTGATTGATTGGTTGAGTGCTTAACTGATTGAGCTTTGACGCAGAGGAACCGCATTCAAGACTTTCTCAAGTTGCTGGCAAGAGATCCAAGGCAGACTATCGGACCAGAGTCACCACCATGGAAGCTGTTCGATGACGACGAGGACCACGGTGGTAACGACTACAATACCAACGACGTCAACAAGAGCTACAACCATAAGCCTTTGCTGCACAAACCTTTTGACTGCCAGGAGCTCAGATACTGCATTCATCTGCTGACACCCAACAAACCACCTCCAAACGTCAATGCATGAACAACAAATCAACACTACAAAGTTGGGCGAGGCCGCACACAGAAACAACAATCTTGTCGCTGGGAGAAATCGGTCGGTCAGACACTACCCGATGCTATCAGCCGTTGCTGCCAGGACGGTCATATCAGCATTTCAGGAGCATGCAGACTAACATTTTTTTTTGGTTTTTCATTTCTTAAAAAGAATATCTAGATCTGTGCCTTTTTCATTTCGACTCTCCAGAGTCTCCACTCTTGGCCGGGCACGGGAATCCAGTGAGGTACAGGTGTCCGTGAAACAAGAGTTGCTGCGCAAAATCCGAGTCAGAGAAAACGATGAATACAGTGTTTTCTTTTTTTTCCCTTCTACCCCAACACAGGCCGGATCTGGAAACGGACCGAATAGAATATAGAATGGGTTTGGAAGTTGAAAACAGCACTCACCAAAATACGGATACGGAATGAAGGTGGAACAAAGACACAATACGGGACTCAGAAGAAGATCACACAGGCACTCACCGAAATTTTGGACCGGAGATGGCAGGAACATCTGCAGATTTGTCTAGCTGTCACCTACAATGATCCCATGGAAGTTGATGGAACACAATACATACTGTCAATCAGAAACGGCCGCCGGATTAGGAGCCTCCGATTGTTAACACCGTGACCTGTCTAGACACGGTCCCAGTAAACCACGGGCTCGATAAGAGGAGGAGCAGAGAGAAGAGGGGTTGGCATGCGTAAGAGTTAATATGTGCCATCTGCGTGCTAGTCAGCGGAAGTGGGAGACGTGCACCACCGCCTGCTCCTCTGTACGAAAGCCAAGCAAATCTGGGAAAGAGCGGCTGGGCTGTTGGAAGCCGTTACAGGCAAAACCGTGTCGCGGACGAGGAACGCACAACGCCGACAGGATATGCATCGCCGAGGGGATGGGAAAGATGGCGGGAACGGAGACTGTTCCAGAGAGTAAGAACAACCTCAGTATGACCAGGATGGAAAGATATCCCCAAAGTGGTGACGTAGAGTGGACTTTGGCTCAAGTGGCCCGGTGGACTTTAGCGCAAGTGGTCGGTCAGACTGGCATAACTCAGAAAGGATCAATAATGGACACGACAATCACCGACAGGAGGAGGAGGAGGAGGAGGAGGACCCTATCTACGGGGCCGTGAGGACCTTCGATAATTTTTTGGCGCTGAGCGTATATCTGACACTTTTTTAATGGATGCATCGACAGACAGTAGTTTACAGAGGAAAAGTCAAGCCTCACTGTCAAATTGTCAATCCTCCTTTCTGAGGAGACATCATTGCTGTTCAGGGGATCTTTTCGGCAGCCTAGAGGTAGTGGGAAGGGGAACTGTGGTACTGCTTCTTTTTTTTTTTTTTTAATGCGCCCCTATGGACCACAGATGAGATATGAAACTGATCAGAACAGATATTGCGCTTTCCCTTAGCCAAATGACTGAGAATTCATGAGAACTTTAAAAAAAAAAAAAAAAATTCCTGTTTTTTTTTTTTTTTTTTTTTTTTTTGGAACAAAGCAGCCATCTTTATTTTCTGCTGAAAACCGGGTTCAGCGTCCCTTACAAATGGAACCGACATTACGCGTGTGTGCGTGTATGCTGCACAGGCACAAGTTCCTGAGATTGAATGTTTCCGCCCTCTGACCACATTGTACTGAAAGGCACGGACCAATGGATTCCGGTGTGTGGGTGTATGCTGCGCGCCAAGCAAGTGTGGTGCGGGGTCGCCTCGCACATGCCCTATAACACACACACACACACACACACACACATGCGATGCTCTTCTGAGCACAGTGGATATTGCGGACGAGCTGAAAGGAAACACAGCAAGCTCTCCTCCACGACCTAACCATGTTGAAGAGGAGTGCTACCTTCAAGAGAAACCTACCTGTCACTTTTTCTCACCTCCTCCCTCTTTTTTTTTTCTTTTTTTTTTCGCCTCACCTCCTCCGCATAAGTGGAGGTGGTGGCAAGCCCCTGCTAGCGTACATAAGCGAGAGATTTGTAGGATGAAAGACAAATAAACTAATAAATGAATACGAACAGGTAAGATGTAGTAAAAAAAAAAAGCACGGTAATTAAAAAAAAAAAAAAAAAAAAAAAAAAGCACGGTAATTATAAGTACAATGTCACGCCGATGTGACAGAAGAACAACGAATCCAGGACCCATGTATCACCTGCTCATCTACAGTGTTGAGTACTAAGACAACTCGATTGAACTAGAACGAATCTACACTATTGGTGTGAGACCGCAAAAATCAGTGTGTTCAAAACCCACGCATCCCCTCTTTTAAGCTGAGAGACAAATTCGCTGTCTCTCTGGCAGCGATAGAGCTGCAAGCTGCTTAAAAGCGAGATGAACGCAACGCCATAACAATTTATATCAACAAGTGCGCCTAGAGCACAGACGAGCAACATCGATAATGGAAAATAATCATCATAGGTGAAATCATACCGGTTGCTGATGATGTCCTTCCTCAGCTGCTCTTCCATTGCGAACATGGTCACATGGCTCAAAGAGCAAGACGAACGTGATGAAACGACGTAGTCGGGCACAGGCGACTTGCATCCGCCTGAAAATCACCACAGGCAGGGCCATATTGTCGCATCACAGACTTCCCATATACGACGTTATATGTCCTACCCCAGCCATCTTCTTCTTCCAATTTCATCACTCGACATCATCACCTGAAGCCACTGGCTGTGGTGTGGCCTCTTTCAACCTCCGGCGACCGGTAGTGGCAATGCACCTAATGCTTACATCCGTCCTTTCCAGCACCACCGTGATTGTTTTCAGTCCCCGCACCTACCGGTACTGACTCGTGCCCACAAGGCATGGATGCCACGGAACCAATTTCCTTAGCTTATCGCATAAATAAAGCATCCCCCCTCCTCAGCGCCTGCTTTGCCAAACCTCCATATTTGTGGCCTGCTTGCTTGTACATGGATTACAAACTTTGCAGGCTTGCTTGCTTGCTTGCTTGTACACGGACGAAAAAATATTTGCAGGCTATCAGAAGCAGCGGCAGTTCAAATCATCCATTCGACATGTCCGCGGACGACATAGACATAGGCAAACGACCCTCCCCTCCTTGAGCACTCCACTCAACGCGCTTCCCGCCTTCCACTTCCAGCCGAGCCAATCCTTGTGGTTGTTCCTGCATGGGATTTTTTGAGAGGTCATGTTGTGGCAGCCACAGGCAGCGTTGTCAAACCACTACAACACGCTGTTCCTAATTTGAAGAGGCAATTTCTATCATCGGCAATATAGTTAATAATTTACCTCATAAATTGCGGTTCCCGGAACCTGACGCGGTACGTGCAAAGCCGTGAAAACACTGAAAAAGTGGAAGGCTATTGTTTGTACAAAACTGTCAATACAATACGCTTCCGTCCGGGCTCGCCAACTGCCAAAATTTTCTCGATGTCTGTGTGTCATCCTTGCACAGGGTCCATGCACGCTAATCTTCCTTCTTCTCGATGTCTGTGTGTCATCCTTGCACAGGGTCCATGCACGCTAATCTTCCTTCTCTGTGTCGTTCCAATTGTGACGGATGTCCCCCCGAAGGACAGCCACAATAAAGAATTTTCTTTTCTACCGAGTTACCGACTGAACAAGGAAGGGATCCCTTTTTTTTTCGTTTCTCCAACTTATGCACTGGCTGCCTGCCTAATTTTTCTGCAGGGCAAGCAGTGCAGCGTATACACCACCCTTGCTCTCGAGCGCATCGTGGTTCCCGATCTCCACAACAGACCCCTGCTGAACAACTGCAATTAGATCCACGTTCCGGATTGTCGAGAGCCTGTGCGCAATCACCACTGTTGTCCGCCCCACCATCAACTTGTCGAGTGCATCTTGAACAATTCTTTCGGACTCCGTGTCCAGTGCACTTGTGGCCTCATCCAACAGCAAGATCCGGGGATTCTTCAGCACCGCTCGTGCAATCGCTATTCTTTGCTTCTGGCCACCGGACATCTGCGTGCCCTTCTCACCCACAAGCGTGTTGTAACCGTCGGCGAAGGAGCTGATGAAGTTGTGAGCGTTGGCGGCCTTGGCGGCATCAATAACCTCAGATTCGGAAGCGCCCTCCATTCCATAAAGGATGTTTTGTTTGATCGTCCATGCGAACAGAGCAGGCTCCTGGCTGACCAACCCAATCTGTCCACGCAGCCATTTCAGGTTGAGCGTCTTGATGTCCTTTCCGTCGATCAGCACCTTGCCAGAAAGAGGGTCGTAGAAGCGTTCTATCAGTGAAATCACAGAGGATTTGCCGCTGCCACTTGGCCCCACCAATGCAACTGTCTGCCCTGGATTGATCCTCAGCGAGAAGTCCGAGAACACCGGCACGTCAGGTCGTGAGGGGTAGTGGAACTTCACCCTCCGGAGCTCTACCATACCGGCAATTTTCGGTAGTCTCTCGGAGCCAGGCTCGTCTGGATCGATCATTGTTTGCCTGTCTACTGTGCTGAAGATGGCGGCAAGGGCACCACCACCTTTCATCGTCTCCGGAGCCAGACTTAGAACTTCGGCTACTGCAAAGGCAGCAACGATTGCAACCATGAATGCTGTGAACACGTCGTTGAAGCTGTTGACCCCACCCTGAATCAGCCTCATAGCGTACCACAGCAGAAGGGCAAAGGAGCCAAACATCATTGCTGTCGATGATCCCACAAGCACTGCGCTGATAAATGTTGAAACGGTATTCTTCTGAAATGGCTCCATCACATGACTCCTGAACAAGGCCAGTATTTTGTCTTCCGCGGAGAACGCCTGCACAGTCCGGATATTCACCACTGCCTCCGCTGCCAGGTCACCAGCGCGAGCGTACGATATCCTCGCATCCTTTGAGACTCCTTTCACCGTCATACCCTGTTTCCAGGGATGCAAACAAGAAAGGTCATGAGCAGTTCACATTCCAAACCGGGGAGACGCTTGTTTTTTTTTTTTATTTTAATTGGGCCATGCTAATCTTCATTCTCTGTATATCGTTCCAATTTTAACGGATGTCCCACCGAAGGACAAGGGGGGAACATTGGTTAGCCAAAAATACTCATGATATAATTATGTTCAAAGAAGTAGATAGGCAACGCTTGGTGCCATAAATATATATAAGCTCTCGATGAAAACCACAGTAACTGTTGAACAAATGACTGCAAAAATAAAATAGCGACCGTCATCAGATAGTTTGAAATTTAGAGAAAGACGCGGGACCGTCGCTGGGGTGGGGTTGGTGGAGAGGATGGTGGTTCTCGTCATAGCAGGGTTGATTATGGTAGCAGTGTTGGTGGTCGCAGGGCCACCGTCGTCACCCAAATAAAACACCCAGTCATTATCGCTGTATCTAGACTGGAAAATGCCCCAAATGCAGATATATAATGATCTGGCGTTATATTCGGGTGAAGACGGCAGTGGTCGTGATCGTGGTGGGTGTGTGCTCACCAGAGGAGTAGTAATGAGGCCAGGGTGTGGTGGAGCAGGTGGAAGTGGTGCTGATGGAGGTCATAAGGGTGGCAGCGGGAGGGGTCTGTGCAGGTGGTTGTGGGGTTGGGGGTGGCAAAGGTCGTGCTTGTGGTGATCGGGGTGGGGCTGAGGGTCGTGAGGATGGCAGTGGAGGTGAAGGTGGGGGTCTAGGGAATGGGTGGGTTTGTGGTGGTGGGTGATTTGGGGGCACGAGGTAGGGGCCATTGACGCAGGCAGTGGTGTGGCAGAGGCAGCGCGGATGGTAGTCGACTCACAAAACGATTGTAGTGGCGATAGGGAGGGTGTCAGCAGGGGTGGTGAGGGTGGTCATGTTGGTGGTGATGGCAGTGATGGTGGCAGGGGCAAGGGCAGCGGTGAGGATAATGGTGGCGGCAGGGCCACTGGTTGCTAGTCGTGATGGTAGTAGGGGTGGGGTTGGGGGTGGCACCCGGGCGTAGACGCGAAGATGGAGGGGAAGGGGTGTCGGCATGGTCGTGCGGCTGGTGCTGGAGAGGCTATGCCCACAGTGATGATTAAACTGGGGGTGCTGGTGGCTGTCACATGTCCAGGCTCGAACTCTGGGCCTCTGGAACTGGTACACTGATGGGGCGTTAATCCTTCAAGATGTTCCAATGCCGACATTTTCAAGGAGAAGGCCTCCTTGTACCTCATATTGTCCGACTGCTGCTCTCAAGAGTTTTGGCAGCTCAGTTTTTTGAGTTGACAGCCCCATCCGTTCAGTCCTATGTCACCAGATGGTAGAGTGGCTGTGGAAGACATCTGAACCAGGTCATACCAGAGTAACTGTTCCAACCTCAGATCAATTCCCCGACTCCTGGTGTTGGGGAGATTGGCGTGAACTGAACTGCCTCTAGCACTGAGACACTACTATGGCGTGCGGTGAGAACGATATGAAAAACGTCCACAGCAACTGACAGTGTGTGAATGAGCCTCAAACACGAAACCCCATAGAAAGCAAACATCAACTGCCCCAAGAGGGTCAACGATTGAAAAAGCGGCTGTTGCACAACACCTATACCCGGATCAACAATGCGTGTCGCCAGGTGTCCTTTGCAATTTTCTGGGTTTTCCCTTTTCACTTTCCATGGAGGGGGCGGGGGAAGGGGTCCATCTGGTGCTTTCTTTCCTTGGTACTTCAATTTTTTGAGTATCGAGAATGGGAAGTCCGGAAGCTTTATTTAAGGGATGCCCAAACAGCGAAGCTACCCATGGCAGTGATACACCCTCGGCATTCCTGATGCACCATTCGGTTTGGAGGATGATTCTTCCCCCGACTGCCGATGTGCTTCGCCAAAGGAATGCAGAAGAAAGTGCCAAGAACAGATCACTGAAACTAGACTATTCCAGCAGTCGCATATGTTCCGCATTCCACTTCTACTGCATTGTCTATGCCTCTGTGGTGTGGGTGAGGCCATCCATTGTGTATGTTTGTGATTTTTTTGAGGTTACGATTGTAGATAATACGAGTTCTAATTGCTGGTATATGAACACGCACCAAAGTTCTTCATAGCTACTGTAGCGCTCCTTAGGGTTAATAATACCAGTGCATGTCAAATCCAAGGCCTCAGAAGTCTGGCTACAGCATACTACACAGATCAGCCAGCTGTACTGCATCTGTTATAAGTCTTATGACAAAGTCGATCAGCATCAAATTCCAATATGTCGACAAGCATTATCTAATAAACTGGATCGAGCATTATATATATCGTCAAATAGAACTGCCCGGTAAACCGTAGGCAGAGAGGGAGAAGAGGACAACAAACGAGGGGCTGTGACAAACTGTTTCGTCGGAGTTTCACCGACTATATATATATAAGAAAGAAGGAGAAGGGTACCAATAGGGTGATCACTGGGCTGTGACCCACACTGAGCCCAGTCAGCATCAGATTTAGAAATGGCGAGAAGGATCGGATCGATTGTTTTTCAGACTGAAGTAATGAGTGTTGTATTAGGAAGGAGCAGGGTACGGTAGAGTAATGATTGGCCAGTGGCTGACACTGGGGCAGATACTGCTGAATTATGACTAAGGAGGAGGAAGGTTGACTTTGGAGATGGGCAGGGCTGCAGACTGTGTTTGGGTACGAAGAAGTAGTACGAACCTGCGCAATGTTCCCGATAAGAAGCAGTGGGAATACAACGAGTGAGACGAGTGCCAGGCGCCAGGACTTATAGAATGAAATCCCAGTGGAAATTATCATCACTGAGGCTGTGCCCATCATAACGGCAAGTCGATCTGCAACCGCACTCTTAACAATAGTTGCGTCGCTCTCCAGCCTGGATGCAATTGCACCGCTGTTGTTCTCATCCCGATCAAACCAGCCAATCTCTTGTCTCAGCACAGACGCAAAGAACAGCTCGCGCACCCTCTTCACCAGGTTCTCTCCCAAGCCTCCCCAACCGCCCCAGTTCATGGCATAAACAAAGAACGCGGAGCCTCCTAAGCCTAGGAAAACCCAAACGTACTTCAAAACTTTTTCTTTCATCCTTTCCGTGTTATTATCCATGAAAGCATCCAAGACCTGTGCAATGATGAGTGCAAAAGAAGGATTGTACACACCTGATAGCAAAGAACCCACCACACCGATAAGGGCCCACTTCCACTCTGGCAGGTTCATTTTCAACAGTCTCATGAACGACGGTGCATCTATAGGTTTCCTATCTGCATCAAACTTGCCGGGCTCGACCATAGATGCATCAGAGAGATGGCTGAGAGAGAAGCTCAGCCTTCCAAGCTTGGATGATGACCGTAGATCCGTCCGTTGCGACATGCTCCATCCCTGTCCCCCTCGGTCACTTAAAAAACGAGGATCCCCTTCCTGCTCCTCCCGGTTGTTCGAATTCTGCAGTCTCACCAATCCTGTGTATACTCCATTGGCTCCTTTGCTCATCAACTCGTCATGCGAACCCTCTTCGACAATCTCACCAGCCTGCATGACAACAATTTTGTCAGCGCCACGAATGGTTGAAAGCCGATGAGCGACGACGACCGTTGTCCGACCTATCATCAAGCCGTCTAGAGCGTCCTGAACAACACGTTCAGACTCGGAATCGAGGGCGCTGGTGGCTTCATCGAGCAGGAGAATGATCGGGTTCTTCAGAATGGCCCGAGCTATGGCGATCCGCTGCTTCTGGCCTCCTGACATCTGAACGCCGCTCTCACCTACTAGGGTATCGTAACCCTCTGGGAAGTCCATGATGAACTTGTGCGCATTTGCAGCCTTGGCAGCGGCCTCAACTTCCTCCGTGGACGCACCTGCCTTGCCATACAAGATATTCTCCCTGATCGACGTTGCAAAGAGTGCTGGCTCCTGGCTCACAAGGCCTATTTGCCGTCGAAGCCATCTGAGCTGCATTTTCTTGATGTCGTGTCCACCGATCAAAACCTGTCCTGACGATGGTTCATAGAAACGCTCGACCAATCCAATTATCGTAGACTTGCCACTGCCGCTGGACCCAACCAATGCAACTGTCTTTCCAGCCGGTATCGTCACGCTGAAGTCTCGGAGAATCTGGCTGTCCGGCCGTGAAGGATAGGCGAAGTTCACAGAGCGCAACTCGATGTCACTGCCAAGATTGTCAAATTTCTCACCCTTCTTATCCTCGCTGCTGATCAAAGGCTTACGTTCAATGACGGAGAACACTTTGTAACCAGCTGTTTTTCCAGCCACAAAAGATGACACATACGGCAGGGCTTGGCCCAAACTCCTGCAGCGCCAGCATTTCAGACAGACAAACGCTTTTTTTTCAAAAAAGGGGTAAATTACTAAACTCTAACATGTTTATCCTCATCTGATTACATCAGGATTTGAACCACGGTTACGATCTGGACGTCCGCGTCGCTGTCCAGATAGCCAGCGTCAGGATGTCCGGTCGGACGTCCAATCCCGTAAGGCTGGGAGTTTCAAGGCCGATCCCCCCCAAAAAATGTTTTCGAATTTTTAACTTTTTTTCTGGCCGTTTCAGTTAACCAAAGAGGACCGGGCTGAGAGAGAGAGAGAGAGAGAGAGAGAGAGAGAGAGAGAGAGAGAGAGAGAGAGAGAGAGAGAGAGAGAGAGAGAGAGAGATTGTACAGGTTGGATACTGCCTTGAGGCAGGTATGGCCCAATTCACCGGCCGTTTGTGAACCTTCTGTGCCTTCTTTTCTTTTCCCGGACGTCCAGATTTATCCACGCGTCAGTCCGGCTGGACGTCCCGCTGTGTTCGGGTTCGATACGGTTTTTAACCATGATGCTTTGAACTCATGTGATGTTTACTAGCAGTTACAAGTGTGTACCCATCAGCAACATGGGCTGGGTCACAGACACAATGTTGTTTTCGAAAATGTGGCTTCTCTCAACTGGCTTGCCAGATTGAGACAAGGTAAGAGATTCTCTTCCCCCCCTTCTCCCCCTCTCACATGCCGCAGGGCTTGGCACAAGACAAAGCCCTTCTAAAAAATATGGGTTCTTCTTAACTGCCTTGCAGGATTGGTAGAAGGTGACAGATGGCGTTTCTCCCCCTCCCCCTCCCCCCATCCACCTCATCTCCATCTCATCCTAGTCCTCAGGATCATCATCCTGATCATCCTCGTCTCCCGAGACATTCACTTGCTCATTCTCACTCCCATTCTCGTTCTCCTTAAGTCCGTTCTGCCCTCTCTCCGCCATCGCCTCATTGTCTACCTTTCTCATTGTCCCCTCCCTCTTCTCGTGATCCTCGTCCTTCACTTCGCTGATCGAGCTCCTTCACTTCCTCCTCCTCTTGTACATCCTTTCCCCTCAAGCCATGGCCATCAATCTGCTTTGCTTCCGCCTCATCCACCACCCTCCTCTTCCCTTCTTAATTGCCAAACAATTATCCTCTTCCCCCTCAGCCTCTCGTCCTACCAATCCTCTTTCTTCTCTTTCATGCCAACTGTTTGTGGAAGTAGATTCACAGGTCCCTGTGCTGCGCCTTCCTTGTGTTTTTCAGCATTTGTGACCCTGAAAAACGATCAAATTAAGTTATGGGACACATGAGATCCCAGGAGAAATGATTATTGTTGAACCTGATCTCCCTTCAGCCAGAGTGAAACATGAGTAGATTCAGTAGAACCAATTTCCTTCCCTCCTTCCCTCCTTCCGTCGCCCTCCCTCCCTCCCTCCCTCCCTCTCTCTCTCTCTCTCTCTCTCTCTCTCTCTCTCTCTCTCTCTCTCTCCAACAAACACAGACCACCACCATTATGTTGCCTCATAATGGGAGTAAGCGGTGAATCCAGACTTTAGACCTTGTGATAGAAACCCTAGCAAACACAGTGGTTAAACCATGATATCGTGGGGCACATGGCTGAACAAGCACAGGGCTATTTTGTGCTGCTTGTCAAAGGAGCGAAAGGCATACATCGGTGTCGTGTGTAGCTGTCAAAAGAAGGGAGAGGCGACTAACACTACCTTTGTGAGAATGCGCAAACCTGTGGCGGTGGCAGAAAGGGGAGATCGGGAGTGGAGGGGGAGAAGTTGGTTTCCAGGAACCAGAGGCATAGAGTCAGACGCACAATGGTACCATGAGGTGAGGTGTGGTGTGGTGAGATCAGGATCCATTCCTGTAGGCGATAATGGAATCAAGGTAGAGTTAGGTATGGTGAGAGGCACTCACATTCCCCCGATTACGACGTTGAACATGGTTGTCAATATGTCCCCAGCTGTCGCATCACGGTGAGATACAATGATGCTGGCCCTCCAGAAGACAAGTCCCCAGATGCAGAAGAGGACACCATACATCACCCCCAACCCTATTCCTTTGACAAATCCCATTTTGATTCCCAGCTTGCACGTGACAGACAAAGCTCTCGAGTATAACTGTTTCGCTGACTCCTCTCCAACAAAGGAGTACACCGTCCGAATCGATGACAGTGTTTCCAGCACGACATTCCCTGCTCCATCGTATGCTGCCTGGCTCTTCGAGCTCAGTCCGCTCAGAATAAATGTGTACAGTCCACCCGCAATGATGATGCCAGGAAATGCTCCGAGAATCACAACCGCAAGCCTCCACGACGTCTTGAATCCAATGACATAGCCAGCAACAAAGGCTGAGAAAAATTGAATAAAGAGCCCTACCTGCTCCCGGACCGTCCGTTGTGTGCCCGAAGCATAGAGTAACCAATTAACCACAGCAGGAAGGAAGAACAGCACATGTTAGTTGGAGCTGGCATAGACTAGTATCCACGAGTACCCAAGACAGGGGCATATCTACCTTCTTCCACCGAATAGAACGTACGGTCATTATGCCTGTATTTGGGGCAACATTCGGTCCAGATGCAGCAGTAATGACCATACGCTCCATTGGGGGCGAGACGGTAGTCAAACTGTGTAAGCGGATGAGCAGCCACGACATCCATGAGCCTTTTCAGGAGAAACTTGAACAGGAGCATATCAGCTAACAATCACAACTGGCAATGTCTTGCGGCAATTATGCATTTTTTTGCCGAGCATTGATATTGGATACTGAACCGGTCCGGCCAGACTGTACACCCAGAGATGTCCAATACTGACGGACCAAAGGCAAAGAGAAAACTCACAAGATTTTGAAACAAAAGTGTTTCGAAGGAAACAAAAAAGGGAAAAAAAAAGTGTCTCAGCCTTTCAGGGAAGCATTAGCAGACTGAAAATTTAGGGCCTTGACACACCACTCCCGAAATCGGTGTTTTGGGAAGTGCCAGCATTGCCACAGCATTGCCACATATGCTCTCGGATTCAGCTCCAGAGACCGAGTTCCAGAGCTACCAGAGAAGCGGGGCTCGAGAGTACTCTCGAGCTTCGTTTTGTTTCACGCCTGCCATTTTCGAGATACCTCGGGCCAACCTCCCAGAGTTAGGTCTTGAAATTCCCAAGCGGACAGTGAAGGACTAGAGTGTTATGTCAGGCTGCACTTGTTGCGAAGTGGCCTCTGTCAAATTTGCAATAAGAGGAACACCCCGTTCGAGACCCCAGTGTGGCCAAGGGCACTCTCAAACGGGTTTCAACGAGTTTCCACACTCGACAGCACTCCGAAAAACTTACTCCGATTTGGGAGTGGTGTGATGAGGCCCTTAATCCGCCCTATTTTAGCCATCCAAGCAAACAACAGGGCTGTTGGCTGATGACCAGAAGAGGTCAATTGGCAGGTCGTTCAATTCTGACACAACAAAACTGGACAATCCGATGGAAGAAATTCTCGCCCTTTTGGCTAAGTAAGATTAAGTGTAGTATCTTTTCCTTTCAGTTTAATATCTGATCCGTGGTCCATCGGGCCACATTTAAAAATAAATAAATAAATCATGTGTGAGCAACATTGCCGTAGTATCTCCATAACAACTAGGCATGGCACAGATCCAGCGGGGTGGGGTGGGGTGGGGTGGGAGGGGGGGGCACGAAAAAAAGAGACACCCAAGAGATGAGAGACCACAACGCAAAGAGCCTGTAGCTATTCATAAAAAGAAAGAAACTGGAAAGATGGCAGGAAAATACGGAGAAAAGTGGTCAGTAAGTGATACTGTAAGCAGTACAACCAAGCCTCTCTTTGCCGGGGCCGATTCCCCACTGCGCACCGAGCTTTGCCGAAAGGTCAGCATGGCGTTTTTTTTTGTTTTTTTTTTTTTTTTCCTTTTCTTTTCTTTTCAGCTGTTGCTGCCAGCTATTTTGGTCCACTAGCCCCGCGCCTCCGAACTTTTTGGATTGGCTTGTTTCGATTCTCGAGTTTGCCTAGGCGATGTACTGGCGGTGCAATGATTATCCTGGTGACATGCATGCATTCTGTAAAGGTGGAGGACCATCGGTATATGCGAGCACCTTTTCGCTGATGGCCTCTTGGACGACAACAACATCATTCGAAATCCCTGTAACAATGCGACTTGATGTTTCCTGTGTGTCAAAGTATCCAATTTCCTGACTGAGCACAGCTTTCAAATACGCCACTCTGATCTTGGCCGTTTGTCTCTCAGCTGTTCTCGTCCAACACCCAATCTCTGCGGCACACAAAATTTTGAAAACATTTGTTCATTGAACCAAACATGCAAGCACAGATCATGTGAGTCAAATGTGAGGAAGAACAGTCAGCATAATATCATACAAGGCAAATGTTTTTTTGATACATTCTAGTCAGCAAATAAGCACTTAGCAATAATAATGGTGTATGAAGGATTCAACTGAAAGTTGGCTATCACATGCTACCAGTGGTTAGGGCATCAGAAAAGCAGTTGTCCATACTCTCTCTCTCTCTCTCTCTCTCTCTCTCTCTCTCTCTCTCTCTCTCTCTCTCTCTCTCTCTCTCTCTCTCTCTCTTTCTCT